CTGTGAGTGAGAGGGGAGTGAGGTGAGGGTGAGTGAGAGACGAGTTGGGGAATGAACAAGGGGGTGGGTGATTCGTGAAGCTCTCATGCAGGGGTCACCAGGGGGCCACCAGTTGGAGCCGACTGGCGCCATGAGCGGGAAGAGGAGAAGGAGGAAGAGGAGCATTGCATTGCTGCATCGCTGCATCACGGAGGAGTAGGCTGGGGTGCTACAGCAGGTACAAATAGACCATCGCATCCCACTCTTTCAGAAGGGGGTGGCCCGGCTGATAGTGGTCGACGGATACCAAAAAGGCTGCCTTTTCCCCCTTCCGCCAGCGACTATACCTTGTACCTCGACAGGTTAGGCCTTGTACCTTTTTCTCTCTTCGATACATATTGCTCAGCATCGTATCACTCCAGGGCCATCACACCACAGCTCTGTCAGTCTGTCAGATACCTACCTACCTACCTACCTTACAACAAGCAAGGTGCTACAGAGAGAGTGCATAAATCACCTGTATTCGACTTGGATATCATCTCCAACACAGACGTAAAAGTCAGATCAACTTGCATCTGCTGCTGTACCTCAACGTTCCATCACCAAACACTCGAAGCCTTGGCAAAGCAGCGGACTGCCGAAGACCCCGAGGTACTTGATCCCGCCAGAACAGGTACACACCAAGACCATCAGCACCAACACCAACACCAACACCACCAACGCACACCGTTCAGTGTTTCCGCTGCCAGTCCTCGGTAAACTTTGCTCCACTCAACGGGACCTCCCCGCCGCCTACAAGCTACTTTCGGAAAAGCATTCCTGCAAAAGGCCGACCGACCGGCCCCACCTCACTCCACAGCTACCCAAGTGGTCAGTGCTCACCGACAGCCGACCCCACTCCGTCTCACGGCTCACCTTGCCTTCACCTTGCCCTGCTTGCGGTGTACGTCACGGTTCGGTCCAGACCTACCCGCCTCCACTCGAAATCCCCGAGCTCCAAAACCTCCACACCCCCCGAACCCCAAAGCGAGTAAGAGCATCAGCAGCACAGCTCGACTTCCCATTGCGACTCGCATCGAGACCAGCTCCGACTTCATCCCACCACGGGCACGTTACGGATATCACGCGTCAAGCCAAACGGACATCTCGCGCGACGACATCCAGCATTCCGTCCAATTGCATCACGTCACCAAAAACTCAATTGCGCCTACGACTCGAGGAATACTCGACTAAGGCAAAGGCAGTCAAGACCCAAGGCTAAGAAGAATACGGACATCCCACGCGTTTTCTTCCCTCTCTTGCCATCCTCCACCATCAACCAACCACGGCGACGGCTTTACATACCTTAGCTACCTTACCTTACCTTACTTACCCATCTCACACCTATCTGTCCACCTCATCCCATCGCAACGCTCCAGAGCTTCCCCATCTGTTGCGTATTCGTCAAACACTCCCCTCATCAGCTTCGGGGCAATGGGATTGGCCACTACACCGGCACCTTCTCCGATTGTTACTGGGGGAGTCTCATTAGGTTCGTCGCACCTCCTCCCTCCATTTCCGAGACGCCATTGAAGGTTCTCTTCGCTGCCGCCTACCGCGCCTCGTGTCACGTCTCCTTTGGAAAAACCCTTATTTGCATCTTTCAGTTCTTCATCCACTTGCGCGCACGCGCGTGTTTCAAAGCTCACCTTGCTAACCTTGGCCCTTTCCTACCGCGACAGACTTTTAGATCAAACCCTCCCAGTAGCCTGCCGTCATCATGGGCAAGCTACTTTCACTCGGCGCGAGACTGCGCTACCCGATTACCATTACAAAACTCCTCAAGCGCCCCGGCGACGCCGTCCAGAAACAGGAGAGCGTGCTCGAGTACTCTTTCAAATGGATGCGCGAAGTCGGCGACCCCATCGCTGGCAACACCTGGCAAGAGGAGGAAACAACCGTCGTAGGCTGGGATAGTCCGGCCGAAGGCACACTCAAAGAATGGCGTCTCAAGGAGGGCATGACATTCACCCGCGACGCCCCGTGTATGATGGTCGAGGAGGCCTGCTCCCACGAGATCCAGTTCCAGGGCTTGTGCGCCATCTGCGGAAAGGATATGACCGAGGTGAACTGGGCCACCGCCGAACGCGATACTCAGCGCGCCACTATCAACATGACACACGATCAGACCGGCCTCATGGTCAGCGGCGACCTGGCTGCGCGTGCCGAGTCCGATACCCAGAAGCGTCTGCTACGACAACGGAAGCTGAGCCTAGTTGTCGATCTCGACCAGACCATTATCCACGCCTGTATCGAACCTACGGTTGGCGAATGGATGGAGGACCCGTCAAATCCTAATTATAATGCTGTCAAGGATGTCAAGAAATTTCAGCTCAACGATGAAGGCCCGCGAGGGATGGTCACATCCGGCTGCTGGTACTACATCAAGATGCGGCCCGGTCTCGCCGAGTTCCTTGAGAAGGTTGCCGAGCTTTACGAGCTACACGTCTACACAATGGGAACACGCGCATATGCTCTCAACATTGCCAAGATCGTCGATCCTCAGCAGAAGCTCTTTGGCAACCGCGTCATCAGCCGTGACGAGAACGGCAGCATGATCTCAAAGAGTCTCCAGCGGTTATTCCCGGTGAACACAAACATGGTGGTCATTATCGACGACAGAGCAGATGTGTGGCCGAGTAATCGCCCCAACTTGATCAAGGTTGTGCCGTACGATTTCTTCAAGGGTATCGGTGACATCAATTCGAGTTTCCTCCCCAAGAGACAGGACATCCTGCCCGCACCGCCGGAACCCGAAGCGAAGCCAACGCCAGCCGCCACGACAAGCGCAGCACAGACGAGCGGGGCGTCAGCAGCCGACCAACCAAATGGCAAGGTGTCTGCCATTGACGAGCTGGTAAAGATGAGTAGCGGCGACGACAAGATCCTGCAGGAAGCACAAAGCGGAGAGCAAGAGAAACTGTTGGAACAGCAAATCAAGGAAAGGCCGCTGCTCCACATGCAAGAGGCACTTGACAAAGAAGACGAACAAAACGAAAAGGTAACACAGGAGACCGAAAATGGCGCGCATATCATGACAGTACAACATCGGTCGCAAGTCCTCCGCGACGACGACGCTGAGCTGCATTACCTACAGCAACACCTTGCCCAATTACACCACAAATTCTACACCGAATACGACGAGAAGCGCGCTGCTGCACCTACTCAGTCTGCCCCGCGGAAGAAAACGGGCGACGACGGCATCGACCTTGATGCCGTTCCAGACGTTGGCGAAGTCCTCGATACGATGAAGGCCGCGACCCTTGAAGGCACCACGATTGTCCTGTCTGGCCTCGTTCCCCTAGGCGTCGACGTCTTGCAATCCGAGATTGGCATCCAAGCCATGAGCTTCGGCGCACAAATTTCGACCAGAGTATCCAAGCAGGTCACCCATCTCGTTATTTCGACGTCTCGCCCGCGGACGCAGAAGGTCAGACAGGCAGCCAAGATCCCGAGTATCAAGATTGTCAGCCAAAATTGGCTGTCTGATTGCCTCAGTCAATGGCAGCGTGTCGACGAAGCGCCCTACCTGGTCGAGGTCCATCCAGCAGACCGCCGTCAGCTAGCCATGTCCGAGTCGACCGACGCGGAGACAATTTCGGACGCCGATGGCGATGATGCACGGCCGCACTTGACAATTATTGACGAAACGGGCGAGCAACGCGTACTCGAGGAAGATGATGATGCCTCGGACGAAGACGAAGGCGATCAGGACGGCGATGAAGAGAACATGATGCTCGAGTTTGAGGACGGTCAAGTCAGCCCGATAGACGGCTTGAAGTCGTTTGACTGGGAAGGTGTCGATGACGAGATGAAGGAGTTCCTCGGAAGCGACGACGACAGCTCGGATGCCGATACGGAAAGCCGTAGTGGCGATACCGATGCTGGCGAGGACCTGCCCTCATCTCAAGAGTCTGCGAATGCGGCCAGTGGCGGTACCAAGAGGAAAGCCATGGACGATGACACGGCTTCCGACGAAGGTGGAAGTGCACTGTCCAAGAAGCAACGCATTGCCAAAAGCCGCGGTGCTTCCAAGTTGAGCTCAGTACGGACTCCCAACGTCGAGGACAATAACGAGTCGAGCAGCCTGCCTACTCCTCAAGTTACTGGCGATGAGGAGGACGTTGCGCTCATACCGGACAACGTCGCGGCGAACGGAGTTGACGACTTTGACGAGGACGATCTCGAGGCAGACCTTGAGGCCGAGCTCGCTGCCGCCGGAGAGGACTAGTGATCCCTACCGCCGTACAGTGAGGGGCATGATGCATATAAGGAGGAGCTAAGAAAGGGGAAGGCCGCGAAAGTGAGCAAGACCACCAGGAAGAACGTGAGAAAGAAAAAGTTGGTTGGCTATGGTTCATTCGGTTTATACCCCAGCCTTTCCGTTGGCGAAGCATGGCATGGAGTTGAGATGTGCAAATATTTGTAGGATTCAAAGTGCAGTACTGCTTGTTGGGGGGGGAGTGGTGAATAGACGATCAGGTGTTGGGTCGGTGCATATCTAGCCACTTGAGATTTATGACCTATTCTATGACTCAATTCCAACAACATCTCTTTAAAGCTGAGTGACAGTGTACAGTTCTCAATCATGCTCCAATTCCTCGCCGAAATCAAAGGGGGAGTACACCTCGGTGAAGATGAGAAAACGGATCCACAATATGCCTTACATAAGCGATTTGCCAATTGAGCGAATCATCATCGACCTGAAAACAATCACCTCAGGCACCCCAGGCCAAAGCTTGTCCCCGAATCTCGAGCTCGACGACCACCATATCGCATCGCAACCCACACACCCCCGTCGAATCGACACGGATACCCCCTCCGATCTCTCGAACGAAACGATTGTTTGTTCGACACGCATTCAATTGACTCCATCCATCGAAGGGGCAATTGACCGACAAAAGTCGCCCGACGACACTTTATACACACTCTAGACGAGCGCAGCCGACCGCGTTGGGTCGGTAGGAAACGATTGAGACAGGATGCCTCAGGATATGCCGCCCGTGGGGGGTTACCAGGCTGTGCAGTACAAGGTGAGTGATTATGGCGTGGTGGAGGAATTGAGAGAGAGTGCGTGGAGGGTGAGGGAGTCGCAAGAGGAGGAATTGAGAAGGGACGATCGGGTCGAGCGGGTTGGCTCTGGGAGCAGCAACATGGCAAGAGGAGGCATTTGAGATACGGGAATACTGAGCGCTATCGACTATCGAATTGGCACTCCGACCGAGGACACCGAACTGAGACGATGAGAGGGTGCTAGGCCAGGGACACTCGGAATCGGGATCAGGGACACTTTGGACTCAGGACCACGAACATGGGGACGAAGGGCAGCCATAGATTTCTGGAGGAACCATGCTGATCATTAGAAACAGCGCAACTTGCCCGCCCGTGGATTCCGCCCCGGCACAATGTTGATCGGTATGGGACTGGTGATGGGATACGGATGGTATCAGTTGACCAAGGGTATCCGGGAAGCCAAGTACGTGACAATCCCTTCACCCCCGGCATGACGATTGCTATTCCTCTTCTGGCGGATATTGGACAAAGTTGCGAGTGGTCTGGTAGACAGATGCTGCACTGCTCAACGGGAGGCAGCAGGCATGGATACCAGAGGCACGCAACGACGAACATACACCTAGGGAGGAATGGGGCAATCAGACGGGACACGTGGTTTCGAGGAGGACAGTGCTGACAAGACACAGCGAGCTGGCGAGAGAGAAGATGTGGGCGCGCATTCACCTTATCCCCCTCCTCCAAGCCGAGGAGGACCGCGACCAGGTTCGTAGGTGGTACGCCGACCAGGCGAGAGAGAAGGAGCTGTTGGGCGAGAACACCAAGGTCTACCACAACGAGAGGTATGTTGATACGGCGCCGTTCCCTCTGACCGATTACTGTCCGGTGGAAAAGAGAGTCTATGGGGATTGGGATAAAGATGGCTAATTGATGACACAGATTCGTTCGTCCTACCTTTGCTCTTGCGCCGCAGAGCAAGAATTAGATTTCCTATATCGTATCTGGCGGAAGAGAGCAAGGGTTGGAGGGGAGATGTAGGAGAGAAAGATGGGCTGGGGCAAAAGCTGGCAGAACGCTGGCGTGTGTAAATGGTACTTTTCGGGATGGAGAGAATCAAGACGACTTGTTCAATCATGCTGATTCTTCCAGCGAGTCCTAGGCTGCCTCATGGTATCTGGTTGGTATGCCTCTGGTGAGATAGAAGAACGACGTTACTACTGCCTTGGGGTCATGCCTCCCTGTGTGCAGTATGCCTCTCGAAGATTGCAGAGGGAATCGGGTTCTAAGAGGAGCCTTACTTGAGGGGTTTTGGGCCAACCTCTGATCCTTTGAGAGGAGTTAAAGTTGCAGTGAAAGATACTTAGGCGGATCACCCACACCTTTCATCATGTAGGCTGACGGCTGCGCCTCTTTGTGGCCCTCGGCAAGAGACGAAGTGTAAAAACATACTCCAGGACAGGTTACCTGTGGTATGTTTCCTGCTGTACTTAGAGCCTACGGGGGCAGCTAAGATTGCAGTGTAGAGAGTGATCCCTGTCCTGGCTGCAGCTCTGCGAGTAATGCTGGGCTTTGATTTGGCGTCTCGTTGACCCTCGAGCGCTCGGGGGGAGTTAAGATTGCAGTGAACGAAAGATGCGAAAGAATGAGGCGGGTGCCAAACGATTGGACACAGTACAAGTCGGAGACAATCCAAGGATACCTGGTGGTGCCAGGTTCAAGAATGCATGAAAGAAGGCTGCCCTAGGACATCTATGGTTCAACGACGTCAGCGAGTTGATGCCAGCAAAGAGAATAGTAAGAGCTCTCTACAAGCTAGATATGCAGGACCTAAACTTGCCCCATGATTGCAAGACCATAGTAGTGGGCGATGGAGCCAATTACAGTAAACGCAACAAACTAGAAGTTGAAGATAGTCAGAGTAAAGCTAGACATTGCAGTCGTAAAGAGTTCAGGAGCGTATAGGGAGAAATAGATGATAGTTGTTTGGGTGGTCGTAAAGATCGTTGAAGTGACGAGCAAAATCCACTGCTGTCGCTCCTAGCTGAAAGCACTTCTTATCTCTGAAACCAGCTATGTTAAGCAGCGATTTTTAGAAAAACAAGGAGGAGTGTTTCTGGTTTATGTCGAACTTCACAAAGGCATTTCAACCCGGCTTATGATGGTGAAGAAAGCGAGGGTCTTGATCAAGATAGCCATGTCAAGGCAACATATACTCAATAACCCTTCATCGATTCAATCGGCGGCACAAAGCAAGCAGAACAGGCCTCATGGTTTTCTGTTACCACCTGATTACAGTAATACCAGCTGAATGCGCATTGAGGGGGTCAATCGTCATGTTACTTGACTTCTCGGAAAGCGTTTCCTCGTCCATGGCGCCTTCAGCACGGCTAACGGAATCTCGCTTGAGAAACTTTTATTCATCCTCTAGCTTGCTTTAAACACCGCCTTTCAAGAGCTGCGGTCCGTGGTAAGTATTTTGTTGGTCTAGCAAGACTTCGTGTCAATATGATATCCTCAACGCCAGGACATGGAAAATGTAGAACTGCCACTTACCTCTGCAACCACATCGTAACACATGGCCCATTTTGTGAATTGCGGCGTCCTAGTTGGAGCATTCGCGTCCATTTTAATGCTTTCCCAGTCCGTTGGGTGACCAGTGAAACCCCCAGCTAGAAGTTTCTCATCCCTCGCTTCTTGCTCTGGCCCATCAGGAAGGGTGAACAAGACAATGTTCTCGTGGCCGACATCAAACATCTTTTCAGCGCGTGGCTTTCTAAGAGCCTCCCATTTCTTCAAAGTAGCACCCAGTTTGTCTTGACTATCACACCAGCGAAGGGCTGTTCTGAGGGCTAAGCCGTCCTCGATGCCTTGGCTCACCCCTTGGGCAGTATGCGGCAACATGGCATGCGCAGCATCCCCGAGAAGAAGACACCGTCCGTCAAATCCTAACCAGGTCTCCATCTTTGGTGCTGTGGCAATGTGCCACTTGTCGATAGGGTAACCCCCACGTATTACACATTCGATGTAAGCACGCAGCGGCGCCCCGAACCCCTTGAACATTTCGCGGATCTCTTCAGGGTTGCCATCCGAGTTCCAGGTTCCACCCAGATCCGCGTCGGCGGATGGCAGCCCGTAATGCAGACTGCATAGAAGTATGCGAACGGTACCATGAGCAGTCGGCCGACCGACACAGTAAAGCCCGGGACCGAACATGAGATGGTGCGAGCAAGCGCCAAGCGGAGCGGCGACTGGGTCGTTCTGCACGCTGGCGATGTCAACCTCTGTCTGAAATATGCATTCAGTTGTTACTGTGGCATCCACGTTTTGTCCGGGGAACATGAGCTCCCGGACGCGTGACTTGATGCCATCAGCGCCAATCACAATATCAGCCTCGTAATCGCTGCCATCCTCCACGACCACACGAAGTTTGCCACTTTTCTCCTCAATGATGTCGGCAACGTTCTTGTTGAACAGATATTTGGCTCCTGCGATAATAGCAGCTTCATAGGTGATTCGCTGCAGTGATGGCCTATCGGTAGGCTTCCGGACCGTCCCGGTGGGAATGGCTTTTGTGACCGTGAACGGCTCATCGTCCTTGTATCTCCATAGGATGTCACTGACGGTTTCCACAGACACCTTGTCCAGAGATTCTGTGATGCCAATCAGGCTCAGGCATTTCACAGCGGAAGGTTGTACGATGAGATTCCCTCCCCGTGTTTGAAGTCGAGAGCCGCGTTCGAGTACGGCCACCTGGTGCCCGTCAGAAGCCAATGCCGCCGCTGCCGTGTTTCCGGATGGCCCCGCTCCAACGATCAATATCGAGAACGAGAATTGCGAGGACATGTTGATTCGCCTAGTGATGATGGTTCGTTGACGACACCTCAGACAGTCGAAGATTGTGTTTCTCACTCATTATAAGCAACGTACACCGTGCGGATGTGATTGGGAGGTCGCAACTCAAGTATGCAGCCTGTGTTTAGTCGGCACAATCTGCTCATTAGCCGAAGTCCGTCGAGACAGGGTCGCCAGTACGATTTAACTTTGGGATTGAGTTGTACTAGCCACTGTAGATAAAGACCAACTAGCATGGCAAAGAAATTGCAGTTTACCACGTGCCTAAATGTAAATGACTGTTACCGGTAGGCCACAATAATTACGCCAAAATTCCTCCTACCTGCTCAATTATCACTGCCCATCCGCTCACTACCTCTGAGTTTCTCAAGCTTACGAGGGTGTTGAAGGTTGTTTCCCTCACAATCCTGCGCCGGGATTAGGCCCGGGCTTCACCCGCCCATGTAATACACCGCACCGGGCCGAGCGGGTCTCCGTACACCCGGCATAGAGCCCGAAGAAGGCTTCAAGCTCACTCTCTTGTGAAACTTTGAGCCTGCGTTACGCGATCTTGAACAGGCAAATTACTGAGCTTCATCCCCACAACCAGTCGAGTTTCGGCGCTTCTCCATGTTGGCCGCATCCGGATACGCGTATATATGATACTTTTCGGGATAGAGAGAATCAAGCCGACTTGTTCAATCATCCTGCGAGCTACTGATTGGGCCCCATACCTTCCTACGCTTTTGATCGGCACGTTTCTACCAAACAAGAAATAAACTTCCAGGTCGAAGGTCACGTCAACGGCTTCAGTTGTCGGGTGCATGAAGTGAGTCGTTGTAGTACCAGTAATCCAGGCAAACTGGGTCAAGCACAAAGAAGTAATAAATGGCTATCCTATGCGTCTGTGATTCCTCGAGATGAGTCTAAATTGCAGTGAACTTTCGCCCGTTACTCTGCCCACCCACCGCTTGCCACCAACGTGGCCATTGGTCGAGGGTGTTGGCCTGGCCTGCAGGCTGACGAGCGAGCCTTTTCGTAGTCCTTGGTAGGAAACAAAATCGAAGTGTATAAACATGGCCCACAGCGAGCTATTCCTTGCTGTAATATGTGAAGCCGTCGAGGGGAGTTAAGATTGCTGTGAAGGCCTGAGGCTGTGTAAAGCGTCCTGCATTAGGTGTCAGCGATGCGGGGTAGTCGCCATGTGATTTGGCATACTACGTCCTGTCGCGTCCACCGCAGTCTGTCCACGTGTAGAGAGCTAACCCTCAGGATTTAACAGCATTCCCCGTACCTGAAAGTTGTCTCATCTGTGCAGCTTTTGGGTTCGTTCGAGGTAAAAGCGGGGCTCGGTGTATGTTATTGGATATTCTCTCGGCTGGAGGGCGTGGTTCTATGCGTGAAAGTGAGGCAATCGACACATTTTTGCACTTGTTAAGGACGAGCACACAGTGATCGCCACACGTTGGGCAGAGAGTAGGCTTATCTAGTTATACAACCACCAATACTTGCACGATTATCGTAACGTAACGTGCCAATGGGGAAAATACTATAAGATATTCTTCGGTAGCTGAAAAGGATATATGCAGCCAAGGCTGATGAGGTACCAGGCACCAGTTCGGTGGCAATTCAAACTTCTGTTGCGTTCAAGATCTCTTTTGATCGTTTGACTTGCAGCGAGACACCTTAGAGCTTTGTTGAGGGGACTCGCTCGAGACCAATTAGATTGGCGAAGTGGTTCAGACTCATTCAACCAAGCTTCAGCTGGTCAATTGGCTTTATGAGGCTCGTAGATACACGCGTACTCTGTAAGCAGTCCAAAGACATCACATGAAACACGTGAGAAAGAGAGTGACGCTTCTACTGCGCCCGAAGTTCTGGATTCAGCCTACCTGCTTTGAGGGGTCATTCGAGTGTGTTTCTCCCGCAAAGAATTGATAGGCCCCGCTGTCGTAAATGATTCATCCAGAGAGGTTGGTAAAGCATAATGTCAACTCAACTTGATCGTGAGCGAGAAGAAATAGCAGTACGAGTTCTTGTTCTCTCATGATGGGTTAATTATGCTGTGAATGTCGCCGTGCTCGGTTTACCCGTTAAGACAACGCTGGCCAGTCTGTAGTGAGCTATCACAAGGCCGGCTAGCCCTGAGGGCGTGCAGCTAACTGTCCTCCGGCTCTACTAATGGGAGTACGCCATTAAACAAAAGGTACCCCAGTTGTTGGCGATTGGCTCACGTGAGAAGACGTTGGATCGCATGGTGTAGTGTAGCTATCACCCACAAATCTTTTGGACGGAGTGGAGGTTCTTAGATTCGGCATAGAAGAAAGCTCATGATTTTGATAATCATCTTACAAACAGCACCCCGGCACCTCATGGGGACGTTGGCTAAAGCGAGTCTTTCTAAGGAGACTTTACAAATTAGAGTAAACTGAGGAATGAATTTGAGGCCTTGAAAGTCACCGATAGCTCGACCGGCGGTGTGGGTCCAAGCCCCCGAGCCGCTCCGTCATCTCAAATTGAAAACGCCGGAGACACGGCAAATGGTGCCGATTTCCCACTCTCATGGCCCTAAGCTTATTGGGAGTTTCTAATTGAGGGGAATTCTCCAGTGATGTAGTCAAGATCTGGCGACCTCCGGAATATGAGTACCACTACGTTGTACGGAACGATCATGGTTTAAGTAGCGAAGTCTATGGATTAGAAGAAGCCCTGGCTCGAAAGATGGAAGGAGGAAGAGTCGTCGGCAATTCCTTATGAGCTGTAGGAACTATCAGGCATGCCAAATTCAGATTGACTCCTAATACAAAAGGCAAAACTTAACCATGACGTCTAGCTGGAGAGCGGTGGAATCTTCGTTTCTGGTGATGGCGGGTTAGCTCCGAGGGGTTGGCCTGAATCTACCAAATGAAAGAGCACTGGCGAGCTATTCGTACCTTCGCATCTATTACTGAGGCCCCATACTTTACCAACTAAGAAGAAGACCAAGCCACACAAAGCTCCGCAGTCTTCTCGTAACTTTCGCACTCTAGCCACTGGCCTCGATCCGCGTATTCGGTGAGTGTACCAAAGTCGAGTCCGAGGCCCTCGCGTTTCTCGGGTGAATCCACTCAAGATCGTCAACTCCGGCTTAATTTATTTGCAAACTTGAATCAGGGACGACGAGTACGGCATGACATCTGGGGATATTCAAAGCCATGGAAGAGAAGACGTTTATATAACGCTAAGGTATTTGATCGCCTTCATTTCATTCTGTCTCTCACTCTAGCAACACGTTCGCTTGCCTCACCTTTGTCACTCCTTTTCATTTTCCATTCAGCTCATATAACACCACAGCCATGCTGATGTCATCTAACACAGGAGCCCGGCTAGCTGGTATTATTTTCTGCCTATTGAGCTCAGCCGATGGTCGGCATGGGCCCCAGAGACACCATCTTGCTCAGAAGTCAGCTTCAAGCTCGTCCACCAATGGAACCGTCGTCTTCGGCTCAAACGAGACTGCAGCCCTCACATCCGATGGGACAACTGCTTCTATCGTGGTCCTCGACTATGGCCACAACGTTGAAGGCTTCCCTACATTCGAGGTCATCTCTACCTCTGGTGATACCTCGAGCTTCGAGATTTCCTTTGCAGAAAGCAATTCCGCGCTTGACTCATACATGGTGAATAGCTTGCTCCCATCAGTACCCTTGAGTCTGGGAACGAAAGATAACTAATAAGAAACAGAGCGATGGTCCTCTACCTCTTGCGGCGGCAATGGATACCTACAGAGTGAACCAATACAACATCACCGCCCCCTCGATCATCACAAACCGTCTCATCCAAGGCGCCTTCCGCTACCAGAAACTCAACCTGTCGTCCGCCGGCTCCCTTCGACTCCGCGACATCGGCGTCAAGCCCACGACATCCACCACACCCGTGACGAAGCTCCCTGGATCCTTCGAATGCTCCGATGAAGATCTCACACGCATCTGGACAACTGGCGCGCGAACAGTCCAACTCACCGAGATTCCCAAGAAGTCCATCCCTGACTTCCTTCAAGTCTCAGACGAAGGCGCGTACGCCGAGAGCCAAGCACCGCAAGGTCTAGCCGGTGCCGTGGCCGCTCAACTCCTCAACTACCGTCTCGATATTCAAGCTAAACCCGTCAAAGGCGGCTTCGGCGTCTCTGTTCTATGTGACACGCTCAATAGCTGCGTCTACCTCTCTTTCAACCTGGACAGCCACACCATCACAGCCCACGCCGGCTCAACAAGCCTGGACACACACCTCGCAGCGTCCCCGTTACCCGTCAACACCACCCTTGGAATCTGGCACGCAGTCCACATCGACGTAGCAATGACCTCCATCATCGTAACTCTCGACAATCTCCCCGTTCTCAATCTTACCCAAACCTCCCGCTACTTCGGCTCCTTTGGGTTCGGAGCCTCCTTCGGACACGCAGCCTACTTCCGCAACCTTACCGCCAGCACACCCACCGGCGAGACCATCTACACGAACCCGCTCACATCCCCATCCTTCCTGCCAGACTTCATGATGGGCGCAAACCCGGCCGACACAATCGTAGACGGCTCCCGCCGCGACAGAATCGCCTACACAGGCGACCTCGACGTCGCCCTCGGCGCCGCCTTCGCAAGCACCTTTGGCACATCCTTCATCGACGGCTCTCTAGACCTCCTAGGTTCCTACCAAGCTACACCAGGCTTCTTCATCCCCACCGCCAAGATCCAGCAAGCACCCCTGGGAGAACCCCTGAATACAAACCTCACAGGACTCGTCGGCTACTCCTTCAACTTCCTCAGCGCCCTCGCCCAGAACTACGAGATGAGAGGGAACCTCACTTTCGCAAAGCAGTGGGCTCCAAAGGTCTCCAGAATGCTCGACTGGGCCGACTCCCAAACCCTCCCTAATGGCCTCTTCAACCTCGCAGACGAGTCCTTTGGCGGCGATTGGAACTACTACGACACACCGCAATCCGGTGTAGTCACAAAGTTCAACGTAGTCTACGCCTACGC